CTGCCTGGTGTTCTCCCCAGGGCTTAGCACAGCGCCTGAACATCGGCCAGCATTCAGTCCTTGGTGACTGAGTGAATGAATGAGTGAATGAAGAAATGGACACCCAGCCTGTGCCAGGTGTTTGGACAGAGACCCCTGGTTGAGAGATCACATTTGCCCTCTATGCGCATTCCGCTGATAAGTACAGAATTCATTTGAAAGGCCAACAAATCCAAAAGGAGCAGCAGGGGTTCTCCATTCCTCACCAGCTGCTCATCGTGCTCCCATTCCCCAGGGCGCTGGCATTGGAGTCACTTCTCCCTGCCGTGTGACCCCAGGCACAGCACCCAGGCTCTCTGTGCCTCAGTTGCTTTGTCCCTAAAATGGGAATCATAACCAAACGTGCCTCATAGGTTTTCGTGGAATTCAAGGAGACCACCACGGGACACCCTTGGCCCAGTGCCTGGCACACAGCAAGAGCTCCAAAATGCCAAACTGCTGTCAGCCTTTCTCATTACACTTAAGGACCCTGAAGCCAGAGGTCATGATGTCTTTTGGGCACTGAGCCTGTTGTCCAGGGCCATGCTGGGCTAGCACAGTCGCTGGGGGGTCATTAACCTCCACCAGGGATGGTGACAGGGTACGGTTCTATGGGGCAGGAGGAGGGGACTGTCTGGGCTCCTGGACTGCAGCTGAGCTCCCCAGTGCCCACTGGCCACAGAACAGCCTTCTTGGGGTGCAGCACAGGGCTCCCACACACCCAAGCACCAGTGGTTCCGAGGCCTCAGAGAGGACTCAACAGTGACTGCTGTGGTCAGCTGCACCACACTGCCTTCTCTGCCACCGCCCACAGTCCCAGGGCTCAGTGTCCGTGGAGTAACCCCACTCCAAACCAGAGACAGTGAGCTGGGGGCAGCTGGAGGCTGGAGTGGGACGTGGGACATCTGGGTTCCAGCCCCAGCTCCAGGCCAACACCCTCAGCACATCCCTCCTCCTCTGTGGACCTCAGTTTACCTGTCTGGAAATTAGGAATGGGGGCAGCCTGATCTTCAGGATCCTTCCAATTCCAACAGTGTCTTCTGCATATTTACATTCATTGACTGATTTATTCCACAAGAATTTACTGAGTGCCTACTGTGTACCAGGCCATGTGCTGGGCCCCTCGCAGTTCTCTCTGCTGGAAGGCCCCTCTCCCTCTTTGGCCTCCAAGTCTCAGCCTCTGGAAGGAAGCCCTTCCCTAATCAGTTCTGAGGCCCCTCCCCTGACCTCCCCCAGCCCTGTTCTTCTTCCTTTCACACTTATCACTCTGCATCAGTCTATTTATCTGTCTGCTTCCCTCTAAATGTGGCCTCCTGAGGGCAGGATCACATCTTGTTCCTTGATCCCTTTGCAGGAATTCCAGAGTAAGTTTCTGGAAATATCTCTTGGGCAAATGAACAAATAAATGAATACGTGAATCTCCGCCCCCAATCCTCGCCCCAACACAATGCCCTCAATTAAGCATTTTGTCCCTGCATTCTTTCCTCCAAACCAATCCCTGGGAACCCACTGGGCAATTCCCACTGCCAACCAAGAAGCTTCCTAGACACGTCTCCCACCTCCGAGCTGGGTGACCAAAAGGTGCCCACAAGGCACGGGTGGCATTTTCGAGGTGTTAACTGCTCTGGTGTGGGGCTGACAACACCTGTGGTTTGACGGGAACCCAGGTTCTGATTGGTTCTGTGCCCTGCCCCACGCTGTCCCAGCAGACACTCAGTCAATATTTAAGCATTAATTAACTTCCTCCAGGGAGCACTGACTCAGTGCCAGATGCAATCACCTAGCTCTGGGGGAAAGGTTAGCTCCCCAACCTTTCTCAGGTACCCAGACAAACAGAGCCAGCCTTTCATCCCAAGAAGCCTTGTCTTACTGGGACCTGCCGCCCTGCACAGGGTGCAGGTCTGAGGGACCCTTCTCCCCACAGGTATGCACACAGGTCTCATACATACGCATGTACACTCGCTGTTCTGAGCAGTTTATAGCACCCTACTCTGAGCCACTGTGCATCCTAACAGAAGCTTGTGTGTGACCCACCCATTCTCTAAACACTTGTGAATTCCTACTGTGTGCCCCCCAAGCTTCACTGCTCCTAGGGGCTCCAAAGCTCAGCTGTTCCATTACCTCCTTCAGCAAGTGTTTCTTACAACAGCTGAAGCAACTCCCCCTCCCAAGCCACCCCAAAAAAGATCAAGGGTTTTTATTAGCTAGACAACTGCTTAGCCCTCCCCACTAGCCCACCTCTTCATTCTTGAGAAGGAGGGGAGACCAAGTGAGCATGGGCCCTAAACAAGAGGGCCCAGGGAATGCAGCCCTGCACATGGGCTGACCACTTGTCAGCTGACCCAGGGCGGGAAAAAGAGCTTTAGCAGAACTCAAACTCACGTTGGGGCAGAGGTGAAGCCAGTGGGCTGGGAAGTGCTAAGAGGAGCTGCCCAGGGAGCCAGGACCTGGCTCCCCAGCCCCCAGACTATGGCTGGAGAATCCACCATCATCCCTAGCCTGATTCTGGGCCCCTAGAGTTATAGGGTGCGGCTCTGAGAATGGCTGTGAATGATGAGCTGAGGCTGGGACAGATATTGGCTTCTTCATGGACTCCTGCAGCCCCTGGTCTCAGAGCAGTTAGCAGGACAGTGGTGGGATGTCAATCAAATCAAGGTCACGTTCACCAGGAGCTGAGCCCTGAGAACTGGACTCAAATTCACCAAGGGCAGAAGCAAGAGGCTAATTTTGAAGAACCTACAGCAAGTTCTGGTCCTGGAAACAGACCTGGGTTCAAATCCTGTCTCCACCCATTCTTGGCTGTATGACCTTGAGCAAGACACATAAACTGTCAGTCTTAGTTTCCACCTATAAGTTCTGGGTAAGGACAGAATGAAGGCCAAAGTCAGTATTAATAATACATTCTTGGGCTCTTGCAACGGGCCAGACACTGTGGATCCCAGACTTAACTGTTGCATATGGCATCCCCATTGTTGTAAAGCCAGATAGGACCTCCTGCCTCCCTCCACATGCCTCAAAAATGATGTCTTAAAAGTGAACTTCAAAAATAAAGACTTTGTGTGCCTTTAAGACAGGCCCTAAGGAAGGAAGGAACAGTATATTTTTATTCCTGTAGGTATTATCACATGGACAAGTTCCACGCCTGTGCGTCCCTATCACCAGATCACCAAAAGAATGGAATTAAGATGCCCTTTGTCTGCAGTCCCCCTAAAATGTCAATCCTGGTTTCTCTGGTTGGGGCTGGGAAATGTTATTACTGGTCACAGAGGATCAGAATAGTTTGAGATTGTCCATAAGATGGCATGGAAATGACCTGGAACTGTGGAACCTTGGACAGGTCCTTTCCACTGTCAGTGCTCAAGTTTCCTCATCTGAAAAATGGGGTAAATGCTCTCTAACTTTGTTTTCACCCTTGATGCCTGGCATTGAGTAGATACTGAAAATTTGTTTGAGAAAACAAATCTGGAGAACTCATAAGACTAAAGGGAGACCCAGGAACTGCAGGATGGGTCGGCTGGGTATCTTCACTCCTGCCAAGGGACAAAATAGATGCTGAAGACAACAGGCTCAAGGAAAGAAGAGACTCCGAAGAAACCCAAGGAGAGGGTGAAACAGCAGGAAGTTTACTTCTGGGCATCTCCCAGCATGGCCCCCACAGGGCCTGCCTAGCTCTCAGAGTCTCTGTGAAGCCCTTTCCTCCTTCAAGGACCACCTCAAGGACCCCCTCCTCAGGCAAACTTCATGACCACTTTAAGGAGACCCCCACCCCAGGCACCTTGGACTCCCCCTCTCTGAGCAGCAGTCACCCCCCTTTCGGGCCTCCCAATCTAGAGATCGCAATCCTGTCCCTCTGTTCTCTGTCTCAGCCCCCAGCTGGGAGGAGGTGGCCCGTGAATGGCTCAGGACAAGAAGGAAAACAGTGTCAAGAAAAGTTAAGTTGGGGAGTTCCTCAGCCCTGGGTATTCACCTCCCCTCTGGAGCTCACAGTCCTCGCACAAATCCTGCTCTGCCCCTTCAGAGCTGTATGATTCCCAAGTCACCAGGCTCCTTTGAGACTCAGGTCCCTGCTCTGCAAGCAGTCGCAATGAGGGATTCAGGGAGTTTCTAGCAAGGGCCTGCCCTATGCTCGGAACATAATAATAGTCCCTATTGTCATTATTAGTAGTTAGAGAGGAAATGTTACAGAACCGGTGATTAGGACACTCGGTGTCGGCTCTCACAGCGACTTCGGACCTCACCAGGTTTAAAGGCCCTCAGCGAGGCATGCCTCGAAGCCTCCTCCATCAGAGGAGACCAAATTCACAAGGTTTTGGTTTTTCCCATCAGACAAATGCGGAGGACGGCCCTTCCCCAAGTATTCCCTGAGGCCCCTCGGCCAAAAAGGTCAAGGAGTAAGGCCTAAAATTCTCTACGGTTGAGGGTACCTCCAAACATTTCTCTCTTGAGGGTCTCCCTGGATCAAGTCGGCGGCCCCCCTAGTCTCCCGTAAAGACCTTGGGTACCACGGGTCATCCGGGAGCAACAGAATGCGAAAGGAAATGCCGCGTGGACAGAAGCGGGGAGCTGTGCGCACCTGCCGCAGGTGAAGCCCAGCCGTGCGGAAGGGGGAGGAGCCGTTGCCGCGGCACGCAGGTGAACCGACCCCCAGCTCCTTGGAGCTAGGCCGTGGGTGGCCGCGGGCTCCAATGTGGCGGCTGTGAGGCGACCCACGTTGCAGACAGCGGCCCCAGCTCCTCCGAGTCCCGCGCAGCGCGGCGGCCCCAGGAGAACATTCGAGGCAGCAGCGGCGTTAGAAGCCCGGGGTCCGTTCGGTATTTGAATAGCACAAAGGAACCGCCTTGGTCTGATTGGCCAGCCATGTGGCCCCGGGGCGGGCAGCGCCTGTCACTCGAGAAGCTCTGGGCATTTTTATTGGCTTATCAGGTGTGAGGCGGGGCCCGGACGCCCGGCTAAATAGCTGGGGCCCGGGCCGGCCGAGGCTCATTGCTTTGGCGCCGTCTGGGGAGCACGGTCCCGCGGGTGGCGCGCAGCGCAAGGTGGCGGCTCCTCTCGGAGCGCAGCCGACCCGCTGACCCAGACTCCGTTTCTCCTGCCCGGCGCGCCCCTGCGGCCGGCTGGAGGCCGAGACAGCAGCAGCATTAGCAGCAGCAGCGGCCGCGGCTGCTCCGCCGCCGCCGTCTCCGCGGGAGCATGGAGTGCGCCCTGGACGCCCAGAGCCTGATCAGCATCTCCCTGCGCAAGATCCACAGCTCCCGGACCCAGCGCGGCGGCATCAAGCTGCACAAGAACCTCCTGGTGTCCTACGTGCTCCGCAACGCGCGCCAGCTCTACCTGAGCGAGCGTTACGCCGAGCTCTACCGGCGCCAGCAGCAGCAGCAGCAGCAACAGCAACAGCAACAGCAGCAGCCGCCCCACCACCAGCACCAGCACCTCGCGTACGCCGCGCCCGGCATGCCGGCCAGCGCGGCCGACTTCGGCCCGCTCCAACTTGGCGGCGGCGGGGACGCGGAGGCGCGCGAGCCGGCCGCCCGGCACCAGCTGCACCAGCTCCACCAGCTCCACCAGCTGCACCTCCAGCAGCAGCTGCACCAGCACCAGCACCCGGCGCCCAGGGGCTGCGCGGCGGCGGCGGCCGGGGCGCCCGCGGGCGACGCGGGGGCGCTCTCGGAGCT